GACTTGAACTCATTGCCCGACTGAAAAAAATCAAAGTTGTTTGCACTTCGAATAGATGAATCCACAGGCACCTTGAAAAGTGTGTGTGTGTGTGTGGGGGGGGTTCATCCTGGTGGGACCAAGGTTTTTTGACATAACGGTTGGTGGGACATAAGGCGCAAAAGGTTGCGAACGGATAGTGTATACCTGAGGCTGCATCCCAGCCCCGAGAAAGGGCACTTGGTGCTCGAAAGCTTGTCTAACCTCTCTCCCAGGCACACAGTTGATCCAATAAAAGATATTATCCTGCTTCTTGCATGTTCCCTCGGTCGCCGCGGCTGCTAAAACACTACAACTAATGCACCCTTAGCTGCGTGGGAGTCACAGAGAGCTCAGGCTGGGGAAGCAAATGCAATAAATACGCGGTTCCCAAGCTGCCCGTGACGCCGCGGTGTTACCATGTGCTCATCTGAGGGGCGTAGCAGCCCTGTTGACCCTGGCAGGGTCTAGCTGGAGGGGGCTGCCTCACTGAGCACCTTGTCTCTGTTTCCCTGTCCCTAGCTGTCACGACACGACTGCCACCATGAGGGCTCTGCTGCGGGATCTCTTGCTGCTCTGCTTGCTCGCCCACGTGCTTGGGGACTGCCAGCGGGACTGCCTGGCCTGCAGCCGGCTTGTCTACAACCAGCCAGACAGCTTCAATGTTCTCGTAAGTCTCTCGATGCCCTTCCCCGAGCGGGTGGTGTCCAGGTGCCTAGATGTCCCTAGGTCCAACTGGGGGATCTGCATTATTTAGGCAGTTACAGGGATCGTGGAACAGGGTGCAATAGAGAGAGAGACGAGGGCTCTGTTAAAAAGCTAGTTTAAGAAACCCCCCTTTATCCCTCTGGGGTTTTTTAATGCATTGGGGTTGTCTTTTACCTAATAATGAGACCCCTCTACCCCCTTCCACCCCAGCATCCCGCCTGGCTTGGCATTATCAGCCTTTTTGGTAGCCAATGCAAAGGATTGACACTTGGAAGCAAAGGGAGAGGGACCGGACCACGTAAGGGCGTGCCTGCAGCATAGACACATGTGCTCCACACACGCCAACCCCAGAAATGAAGCAGGGGGTGGGCCTGGCACCGTGCTCGAGACCTGGGTTTTGCAGCTTGGGGGGTCCCCACTCCTGTGGGGGTGCCACATGTGGGGTGTGGACAGGTGGGCAGGCCTATTGCCTCAGCAGCGGGACCGAGTTCGGCGGCTGCGGTGCGGACAGCCCTTACGAGATGTAAGAACAGGCCTCCCCGCCTGCCTCGCTGGTCGGCTTAATGAGTCCATCTGCAGAATAAAACGAACAAAGGGATGGGTCCACAGTACAGAGCATGGGCACAAGGGGCCGGATTCTGACCTCATGCCCACTGGTCTCCATGGGGAGTAACCCCCTGCGCTCAACTGAGTCACGCTGGTGTAAAACTGGTGCTGGGCTAGGGTGAATGAAGCGCACCCTCGCTGGCCGTGAATCTGGACAAGGCCCATTGGAAGTGTAAGAGCCCAAGAGGGGCACAAGTGGCACAAAAAGGCACGTTTGGGTCACGGGAGGGAGTGCATATCCCAAGCCCCTGCCTTGCAAGAGAGCAGTGCTGACGACGTGGCAGTGGCACAGCATGCCCCTCACCTGGCACAGCTCTGCCGCCCGATGCACTCGAGGGCTGTGCTCGAAGCATCAGGTCCCGGCTCTCTCCCCCGTCACCTCTGCTCAGGTCCGCTGAGGGGTCTGCTTTCCAGCCAGGAGCCTGACAGCTCCTGGGGCTGTGATATTATAAGACACTTGCTTCTTTCTAGATGCTACCAGGGTGGGTGCACGACGAATAAACCAGGCTAGCAGGCGGTAGGGCTGCCAGCCCTGTTCTGGGCTGGTCTATTGAGGGCTAATGTGGCAAACAGGTGCTGGGATTGTCAGCTTCCTACCCCTGACGGTCAAGCTGTTTGGAGAGGCGATGGGAGCCGCTTCCTGCCACTAGACGATGCAACCCTGCCCTGAAGACGAGAGTTGTAAAAAGGGCCAACTCCGTAGTCAGCCAAGGGGGAGACCAGCCGGTGGCTGGAAGAGTTAAGGCCATGCCATTGCATCCCGGGCCCCAGCTGGCTCCAACTTCTGTTCATTTTAGTCAACATTTTTGTTGCCCTCTCTCAGACCCTGCAGTTTTCAGCCCCTTCGCAGGAAAGGAGAGGTCTGCTCTTCTGTGTCCGTGCCTCCATGTCTCTCTCTTGTTTCCTGGCATAGAGGCCCATGTTTATGAGGCCGTGAATCCAGACCCGTTTTATAGGCCAACGCACATCTGAGAAAGATCCTCTGTCCCTATACATTTCGGCAGGGTTTATGATGTGTGAGAGGTACTGAGACCTGTGCCGGAG